CCTGATCACGGTACATCTCCGTGGCGGAAGTAAAACCAACATAAAACACACACACAACAAATCCAAAGTAAAAGCATGCTAAAATAAAATCAAACTTCCGCCCCGTGACATTTGTTCATCGTAATAATAGAACAGCAGAGCAGACACGATTAGTCGATTGAGCCGATCAAAAAAATATAATAATTTGACAGTTATTTCGATAGAAGTCATGGATAAAAGGAAAAATGCCTCATAAATGCGTTTTATGTGTTAGTAAACCAAATACTTTATTAGAAGAAATTAATTACAAAAACATCTGCTCCAGCCATATAAGAAAGTGGAATGGAATACTGAGACAATATTACCCCGATTTAATGTAAATAAAAGCAAATTTACTGTTGATTTTTTACTTTATGACGTCTTCCCTTCTTATCGTTTCCTTGACATGTTTTCCCCAGAATTACCATATTAAAAAGGATGTTCAACATATTCTCAGTTATTACCAGACAGTTAATCCCTCTGTAATTACTCCAAAATTACCCTAAGATTACCTTGTCATTACTGAGCTGTACTGTTTCACTGAGGACGAGTTCCAGACAAAAGATTCAAATGCAGACTGCGCTAACAGACGGCTAATGAGGGCGTTGGAAGCCATGTTTGAAGATGAAAACTCAGGAAGATTTTATTTCAGTGTGTTGGAGGTGAGTTTTCCAGCCTGACGGTGAAATATGAGTCAAAAAGAAACACTGTGCTGCCTTATTTGTTGTTCTGTTGACCGCAATAGATGGACCTGTGTTCTTTCTGCGTCCAACATTATCATACTTTTGTGGTCATACAGAACCGTACTTTATGCACATGTATGGTGTTTCTCTCATGTTACATACAGTGAATGCTCTTGGCTTTCCAAATGATTTTACCAGCTCAGTAAAGTATACTAACGTTATTGATAGTAGCCCAAAATCACTAAAAACAAATGTTTTGGTTCAATGAAATGTGATCTTTTTGAGTAATAACAACTTCTAATGAAATTATGTTCAACAAATGTGCTACTTCCAGTTAGTGGAATTAGCCTTTACTCTACAATCTAATGTATTTTTAATTACTACTTAATAATTAGTAGCATAACTCCAGGTTTTTAAGGTGATTAGGCTACTCATAAAATTACCTTGTTTCAACTAGTTTTTACACTTTTTTATATCAACACAACTCATTAAAATAATGTTTGCAACTTAGATTTGATTTAAACTAGAATAATGAGGTTTGTCTTGCAACCATGCATTTAAAAAAGTGGTGGTAACAGATCTACTGAATGACGTGTTACTTTGTCTAAAAGGGGTTTTCTGTCCATAGAGCCTTGATGTAGATTTTTGAGTAAAAACTCAAACAGCATCACAATACATCACGCAAGACTTTATCTATAAGCTAAATGCAACAGTTCAACTTCAGTGTATAAATAAATAATCACATCTCATTTACAGGCATTTGCAGCAGGTAGAGATCGGTGATAAATGACCCTTAAAACTTCCTAAGAACGGTACGTGTCTGTAACACCTGGATGAGATCAGATCAAGATGCAAACAAGACCATCATCACCAGAGAGGCCTCAGAGTGAAGTCAGTCTGAATTCCTGAAGTCCTCAACATCTAGACCAGCTTTCTGCAAACAAAAATACAAAAGTGATGACTGCAATTTCCAAAATCACAAGAGGGTGCAATTTGTTTCCTGAGTGGAGAAGATGTACCTGACAGCTTCTTTGGCGTACAAATTAAATTGCCTGTCAGCAATAATCTTTTATTCTTTTCAATATAACACAACTCTTCAATTAATCTTTTAGGCCTTTTATCAGAGTAGAAAGATAAATACTGTAGAGACAGCTGCACAGGCATCTCAGTTTGTCAAAAACACTGTATTCAGCAAAAAAAATAGGCTGTTTAATATGTTTTGCATGGCACTTTTCAAGGTCTTCTTTGTTCTCTTGGCAGTGTTGTGCAACCCTAACAGTGGTGTAACAGTATGAAGCACAGTTACATCAGCGTGTGGTGAATGTCTCCTTTGAGGATTTGTTCGGTTTGGAGGTGGTTTCCTCGAATTGGAAGGTGTAATCCGCCTGAAGAATGGGATTTAGGAGAACATCCAGGTAGTACATGGCTCAGATTGGGCTCCAGCGGGTTTTGGCAGCGACGAAAAGTGTTTATTTGTGTTCATGTTGTGTAATGACCGAACAGAAACAGGACAGAATTAGTGAAGAAATGTTTGAAGGAAGGTCAGATATTAAAACAGAATCTTATCTTCAAAGATCCAAATAACAAAGTAACAATAATATAATCATGGGCGGTGATTCAGAGGTCTTGATTCAGTGATTCTGAGTTCACATGACATGATTTTTGCCCTGATTTGACTCATCGACAGTTACTGGATCTCGCTGACAAATGTCCCCAGATCAGAGGCAAATCGGTGTTCTTTCCCATGAAGACGATTACTATGTGCAAACGTTTTAAAGACACAATCTGAGGACTCACTGATGCCTTGCAGACCCTAAATAAATATCTGGTCGTGTCGGGGAGACATGAAACAAGCCACAGCCAACAAGAGCTGTCTGTTTCTAGCACCAGACAGGAAGCAGTTAACTGGGTAGTTACTTGGCCGAAAAAACTCCTCAAATAACATCACACACATAATGGACGGTGAATTAACAGTGTGGTGTTCAATTCAGCATGTTATTTTATTTTATCTTCTCCACTGAAAGCTAAAGGCTGAGACAAAATGTAAAGCTTGTACAGAATACACTGTATCTTTAT